GCACGGCCGAGGCGTCTTCCTCTCGGTCCTCAGCCTTGTGCACGGTTTTCCGCGTGGCCGACAGGGGCCTCTCTCGGCGGCTTCCAGGTCCTGGAGGCAGAAAGCAGGAGGACACTCCTCAGACGGCATACTCAGAGTGAGAGGCTCCAGTGCTACTCGACCCCAATGGAGGAGTACCCTATAAAACAACTGGTCATGCTGGAGACTTCCGGAGATGGCAAAGGGACACACGGGAGCCTTCTGGATCCTGAGCCGCAAGAACAGTGCTGGAGAGTACCCTGCTGTGAGAGATGGAGGGATCTGAATGAAGTCTGGGGCTTAGAGACGGTGACACTCCCAAATCTGATCCATGGGCTGTGGTCTTATAAAATAAATCCCCTAGGACATATATCCTGTATTGTACCCCTGTAAAGTGAAATGCCGCCTACAGTGTAAGCTCAAACAGTTCACACACACACCACTTACTGGCATTGGTTGGGTCCCAAACACCAGGCTGTTATGAAAAAGCCAGCATTACATGCAGCTGTCATGAGATCATAAAGTGGAAGATGGGTACATCGCTATCCAACTGCCAAGTCTCTTCGCTGCGCAAATGTCAAGTGGCATTGTCATCTAATGGCCACACCATCGAGAACTATGACCTGGCCAAGATGACACACCCGAGGCGCCTTCAGAAAGTTTGTGGGAAAATTCCAAGATGAGTTCATTCCATCTTTCCACGAACTTTCTGAAGACCCCTCACAACCTTCGCCATCACAGCCAGTGCTACTCTCGCACCTCTGTGTCTTCACTGCCAGACGTACGTCCTCAATGCCAAAAGTCAGCGAGTGGATTTCCTCTTTTCACCTGTAAAATGCTGGCTAGTGAGAAACTCGATTCATGAGGACCTGGTGTATTTGTGTGTATAGACAGCTAACATGAGAAAGCACTTGGGGCACAGTGCTGACGAGGGTGGATCAGGATGGGGGGCATATGGGAGTTGATTGACACGAGAAACTTCTCTCTGTTTGGAACTGCAACCACATGATACGTCGTAGGAGGCCACGAAGGCCCTCATGGTGTGGATGGACCTGGAGAACATTCTGCTGGGTGACTTCAGTCAATCGCACAAGGAGAAATGGTCTTGCGGGGAGGGACACTGTTTGAAAGAAGGAAAACAAAACTAAGTAAAAGCCAAGAAGGGGGCTTTCATGGCAAAGGGCATATCGACTTTGGAGCTAGCCAAGAGCCAAGAGGGGGTTGGGCAAGGGCGGGGAGGCGAGCAGGTGGGGGGCTAGACTGCTGATGGCCGGGCCGTGGGTGAAATGGAAGGCAGCAGCCCGCAGGAGCCAGCCGGGAGTGAGAAAGGGAAAGCACAGGGGAGGCTGGTCAGCGGCCTGAACTGTTGGATGACCCGAGGTGTAAGCCCCCACCTCACTGACGACTTTAAAGGTGGGTTTTCCTTGAAAAGGGGTCATAAAAAGAGCCCTAACAAAACAGAGTTGGTTCTCGTGATGTGCAGCAGTTCTCGTCTCGTCACTGCAAGCACCGAATTAGTGACGATGGAACCATGGCTCCTAGGGGAATACCAGTGAGGTTCCCGTGAGCTTCTGGGCACATTCTGGACGACTGATCAATACCTAACCTGATTCTTTGCGTGTGTGTATTTTAAATTGTGCTTACAAACAGCTGTTGAACACATTTATTAAAGCAGTAACACTGAACTCACAGTCAACAGTGCTAACGCTCATGCATGAACAAAGAGGGTCTAACACGTGGGGCACTGACTTCGTGCCCTTAGGAACACTTGATAGCATATTAGCGCGGCATTCTGGGCCCCTTTACACAGCAATAGCACCAATAAAAAGCACAAAGGGGCAAAAAAAAAATACATCTGGTGCTAAAATAAGTGGTAAGAGGATAGTTGTTTACAGTGCAAGCACCGAGACACTTGTTTCCAGGCAAAGTGTGCCCCAGTTGCCCCCCACAGGGACCATGTCTGGTGACTGTGTGTCACAGCTTTGCACTCATCCACAAATGACTGCAAAGGCACCGTCGGCAGGGTTCATAAATGCATTTACAAAGAGTGGGTCATTTTTCAAATAATGGATTTCCCACGTAATGAGGGTCCCCTGCACCTCTAAGAAAGAGCACAGACTATTAAGAAAAGGGATAGCTATTTGGGCTTGGTTTTGCTTTATTTTGTTCTGACTTGGCCTATAATGACCTGTTTTATAATGAACTGTTTTGCAAGACCAATACCTTTATTGACAACCTAAGTGGCACCCATGCACCTGGACTTCGCCAGACAAAACACGCAGGAATTAAATCGATGATGGTGAAACCCACGATCAGCTGTGCCACACGGCCAGGGACTGACGTGGAGCAGACCACCACCTGCACCTATGTGCATGCAGGTGAAGCGGAACCTACAGTCTATCCCATCTGAATTCCGAGACCATCCCGAGAGCAGATCGGACTCAGTGAACACTCATGACGGAAGGCCTGACGAGCTGTGGAATGCCGTCAAGAGCATCCTACAGGAAGGAAGCAAAAGGTCATTCAAAAGACAGGACAGGAAGAAAAGATCAGCGTGGAAGTCCGAAGAGACTCTGAAACCTGCCCTAGACCATAGGGCGGCTAGAGCAAGAGAAGGGACAACGAAGAGCTTGAACAGAGCGCTTCAGGGGGAGCCTTAGACGAGACGGCTGAGTGTTAGCACAAAACTGCAAAGACCTGGAGTTAGAAAACAAAAAAGGTGGATGATATAGTTGAGGTTTATTGTGCCAACATGGCCCATAAACACATGTGGGGTGAATTGAAGGGCGGAGCGATAAATGGCTCGGTGAACCTCACCTTTCTAGTTCTCAGGTCTCTTTGCTCTCTGATGGTTGGACCAAGGTGCAGTCAGTTCTTTGCTTTAGCTGGCAAGGCTCATTTCCTGCAAGACATCACTGAGAAGCCACATGGACCTACCCATATGCAGCCCTGGGTGCTGGAGCAGCCGTGTCAAGACCCCTGCCAGCGCTGAGATGCTTACACACTCACCGATTTGGCTTTCCTCCTGCAGTCGGCATCACTGCGTGTGTTTTGTGAGATGGAGGAGGACTTTGAACATTGCTGTTGGACATATGGGCTAAGGTTGAGGACTTTGTAGATTGGTGTCAGACATTTGGGCTAATGTTGGACTTATGGGCTTGGACAGCACTGGGTTGGGATGCTTTCTTAATGTACACTTACTCTTTATTTAAACTCTCTCTTATACATATGAGTTTCTGTGGATTTATTTCCCTAGTTTACCCAGATGAACACAGTGGAACACGCTCAGAATATCAAACTGAAAGAACTAAGAAAAAAAATTCAAGCTTCGAGTTGCAAAACTGAGGGGTTATATGGTCAAAATATTGAATGAGGCAGGAAGCATCCAAAGCGTATGGAAGGAAGACACAGAGTCACTGTACCAAAAAGAACTGATTTGCAAGCATTTTAAGAGGTAGCTTATGATCAAGAACCGAAGGCACTGAAAGAAGTTCAAGCTGCACTGAAGGCATTACCCAGAAGCAAGTGTCTGGGAACTGAGAGCATACCAAATGAAAATGCTCAATATACCGATGAAGCTCTGAAAGCACTCACGAGCTGTACCACGACATTTGGGACCCAGCTACCTGGCCAGGTGACAAGGAGATCCATGTTTGTACCCATTCCAAAGACAGGTGAGAGGCAACAGAATGTAGAAACTACTGAACAGCATCAGTAATGTCACTGAACAGCATCAGTAATGTCACAAGATTTTGCCGAAGGTACTTTTAAGAGGACTGCAGCAGTAGACCAATGGGCAGCTCTCACAAATTCAAGCTGGATCCAGAAGAGGATGTTGGAATGAGGGATGTCACTGTTGACCCTGGCTGGGTCTTGGCTGAATGCAGAGACCACCAGAGAGCTGTTGACTTGTGTTTTATTGACTCTGCAAAAGCATTTGACTATGTAGATCCTAACAAACCACAGATAGTACTGAGAAAAGGGAGAATTCCAGAATACTTCATTGTGCTCATTTGGAACCTGTATGTGGTCCAAGAGGACTGTGTTAGTCTGGGTAGACTAGAGAAACAAATCCATGGACACACATATGTGTATAAGAAAGAGGTTATATACAAGAGCAATTGAACATGGAGAAAATATCCCAGCCCAGTCCAGATCAAGTCCATGAGTCCAATATTACCATATGTCCAATATCAATCTATAAAGTCCTCTTCAGACTCACAAAACACATGCAATGAAGTCAAATGCAGGACGATCACAAGCCAGTGGGTATAAAGTCTTTGGGTCCAGTGGCGTTGTAAACATCTCAGTGCTGGCAGGGGTCTCTCTGTGGCTTCTCCGGCTTCCGAGGTCTTGTCGGCTGCAATGTCTCCCAGGGAGTAGCAGAGAGAGAGAGAGAAGTGTTTTCTGCCTCCAAGAAGGAAGTCCCAGATTTTCCAGAACTATCAGAAGGCCATGCCCACACAGAAGTCTTATTGGCTATCTCCAGATTGACAGCCTAGACTCCACCTCTTAATCCCTAAATTGACACTAGATTAGGTGACTGCCACTAGGGCTGAACTACCATGAGGGCTACCGCTAGGGAATAGAAAATGGTGTAAAAGCAGGAAAGGTCTGCGTCAGGATTGTGTCTTGTCATCATACATATTTTCATGGCTCCTCTGGCCACAGTCTTTGTTATTCTCCCCAAACCACTCTCATTTTCCCGATGGGTCGGGGCAGGGAGGAGGGGAAGATAATGGATTACGTTATGATTCACTGTGAATGACTGCTAGCCCACGGGGTATGCAGTGAGTCGTCCTACAAACAGTGAGTGGGGTCTCACCAGAAGCAAGACCCATGAGTGACACGCATTCTCTGGACCACAAGACCCCTGATGTGGTGAGCTTCTTTGGCGCAGGAGACAGGTGTGACACAAGACAAATGACAGGGGAGCAACAGCGGCAGCACCAGGAGCCAGAGCATGAGACAAAGAGTGGTCCACTTCCCAGCCCACCAAGCAAGACAAGATGAGTGTTTGGGGGCTTCTGGAGTGGGGTGCCTCTGGGTATTTAATCCAGGGAGCTGCGTTT